GTGGATGTTGGGTATCAAAGATTCCATAGGTCCCTCATCCTATTCATGTAACCCCTTCGTTGTTCAGCCTGTGACTCACTGTTCCTGTCCTTAGCTGAATGCTAAGGAAAATGGGCCTATTGCAACTGCAGGTTATTTGTGGAAATTGTGCTGCAGACTTGAAGTGAAAACTGAAATACTGAAAAAGGAATGAAGCCTTCGGTTTTCCACTGTTCGGGTCTAGACTAAGCAAAAGAGAAGAAAAAGCATTTCAGGGTTATTCTTATGAAATGCCTCATTATCTTGGATTTTCAGCTATTTGGAAATAATTTGGGTGATATGGGGAGGTTAGGGTCTAAGCATCCTAAAAAAAAAAATTTAGTATTCAGGAAGCATCAGAGGGGGAGGGGAGAGTAAAATCATTACCATCATCTTCATTAAAGAGGATCCTGTTGTCCAATCAGGATGCGGCTCTGCATGGGGATTCCATAAGCGCCCGTTGGCTGTCGCTAGGATACCACATAATTAGGAGGCAGGCTGTGGCCTGGTTGGTGGACTTGGGTGTTGATGCTGGGACGACGAGCTTGCTGTGTGTTGGGGGTAGACAAGAGGGGCAGGGGGTTTGGAGGCTGCACAGAAACACCCTTGCACGCGCTCATTTATTCACTCAGTCAGCCAGGCAGCCAGCCACTCACTTAGGCAGACAAAGAGGAAAGAGGAGCAACATCCTGCAGGAGGACAGCACGCTCCCCGGGGGATGGGGCATCATACCCCTGCATCGCGTTGGGGGTGTCGGAGGAGGTAGGAACACCAGGGTTAGGGGGCTTTGTCTCAGAAGCAGAGTACCCCTCTTCACACACAGATACACGCACACACACACACACACACACAGAAATTTTATATATAAAAATACACACAGGCACAGATTTCTCTGTGGATCTTTTAGCTATTAAAGCTATTATCATACATCAATCGATTAGTGGAGCTGACAAATGCATTCTCATAGTATTTTTAATGTGGGTCATCAGAGTTGTATGGGCACTGATGGAGGTTTCTGCACTTCCTTACTGTGATGTAAGCTCTGTAGAGACAGCCAGTCTGTCTGACAGTCTCTTAACAGCTCTCATCGTCCTGCTGGATATGCGAAATGGATCACACGCAAAGCTGACTGTCAGTTCTTGTGGTCTTGTAATGCTAGCATGAGGGGATCAATATGCTCCAACAGCACTTAAATTACATTGTTATGGCATTGACTGGCTCTTTGCACTGTGTTTCATGCTGCTGGTGCTGCTTTGATGTTGTCTTAAAAAAGCTGAATAGCACTTTTCATGGGTGCAAGGGGTCCTCCATGAAACCCAATTCAAAGCCAGATTTGTGGATGTAACAATGTAAAAGTGGTATTTGGATGGGACTGAGCAAGGGGTGATCTACATGGCACTGTTTACTGATTGATGGGTGACTCCTCTCAGAGGGACATGGGTTGCAGGGATCATTACCAGAGGGGATTCCCTCCCCTCTCCCCACATGGGGAGGCAATATGAAGCACACTGTGGGATGTAGGCTAATGATGGCATACAGACAAGCAGGCTTTGGCAGCAGTGGTGCTTTGTTTACAACCTGGACCCAGCACTGCCTGACTGCATTTCAGTTTTTCAGCCACAAATATGAAAACATCAAGTTTTCAATCAGTGACTGGCACCGCTGAATGGAAAATAAGGGTCTTTTTAATTTAGGAGGTCTTGGAATATGTATTTTATATTTTTCCATTTTTCATCCAGTTTAAATTAGGATCTAGTTCTTTGCTTTAATGGTGTTAGATATATCAGGTTAATATGTAAAAGCATTTTTAATTGATCCGTGTACTGCCCTAATTTGACTGTTTGCTGCCTTTCTTGTTATGCAACCTAAGGTTTCAATTAAAGCATTCAAGCTGTTTAAACAGATGTTTAAAAAATGTCTTTTAACTCACTCACTGGTTTGCTCAAATATTTTGTAACCTTTTGTGGGCTGTTCTGCGTTTGCCATTTTAAGGAATAGCATGTGGTTTAGTGAGATGGCAGATTGTTTCCAAGTCTCCTTTGTAGCCTAAATGGGCTGTAGAGCTTTGCTTTGGCTCCTAATCTGTTCAAAAGAATGAGTATGTGGAGGAAATGGCTTAAGAATTGCAGCATGGCGGCAGCATTGCTCCTTATTTAATTACTTCCATTACACACTCGTCCCACTCCTGCCCATTTAAAATCCTGAACCTGTTCACTCAACCTTCACCTCTCACTTGCTCCTTTTTCCTTGTAGCTGCGGTGACTTAATGTGAACCTGTATAACCTTAAGGCTAGAAATTCCTCCCTCCCTTTTCCCCCCTTTTCTAACTCATACAGTGATTGTTATTCTTTCTGATCCCCCCCATCAAACATGCTCATTAATCTCATTCTTGACAATAGTCAGAATCTTAATGAGTTCAGATTCTCTTCTTGCTCTGAGAGCTTTTTTTTTTTTTTAACTTCTTCTTTTTCTTTTCTTTTTTTTAATTAACTTCTGGACTTTGTTTAAACAAAAGAACTTTTGACTTTTTCCAAAGATTGCTTATTTTCCGCCAAGGAAGGATGCTTGATCTCCTTCCATCATCTTCACTTTTTATCAGCTGCCATGCTGAAATCTTCTCCACCTTGTCTACCCGGAGAGCTCTGAACCTTTTTCGTTCTGTGCTAATGGATAGCAAAGCACCAAGGGACCAAACCTAAAAAGGCTTTTATGGAAGGACCCTAAATCATTCCTCCTTATTCTTGTGACTGACTGAATGGAATGGATTCATTATTTCTATTTTATTTTTTTAAATCTCATTCACTCAACACTCTTGGACTGAATGTTGACTTAATTTAGGCTTGTAGTGTCTGCTTAGCCCTTATATTTATGCTAAATTCAGTGGAGTTCACTGGATTCCTGAAACACAATTTTATGTGTATTTTTACATGAAAACAGAGGTATCATTTATTTTCCAGCTTGTGTTTGTATCCTGCATATTCATTTCGTGCAGTCGGACAGCATATCCGTCTTTGAGAACAGACAGCAGAGGTGTGACTTAAGCAAGATGACAAGAGATATCCTTATGTTTGTTTTGTAACTTGTACTGACTTTATATAACTTTAGCTTGGCTCAGTTTATTAAATACATAAATACAAAGTAAACAATGAGATGAAAACTCCCTTCTTTGAACAGTAAAAGCAAAGGGAGTATAAACTGTTTGAAACTTAATAAAGAGAATGGCATAAGGGGCTCTTACATAACCCAGCAGCAATGTTTGTTTTGTATGAGAGAGAATGCTTAGTATCAGAACATATATGTATATTTTGTGTAGTTTGTCAAACTGGGGGCTGGACAGTCATGACAACAGGGATGTGGGTGTCAAATTAAGTCGGGGTAAAAAAAAAAAGAAGAAAGTTAATGATTGGCTGCAGAGTTTGACGTGATCTCTTTCATGGTTTCTGCAGTGAGAGATTATTCAGGTAGTTGCTGTAGTAAAAGATTGCTGTGACCTACAGCTTACACTGGGCTGGTTTGCAGCTGGGTGCGAAGAATAAACTGAGCACTGAAATGCTCACTGAGCTGGGGAAAAAAAGTGAAACTGGTAATTCACTGGTCGATCTGCATTCCTAACCTCACCTATGGACACGAGCTCTGAGTCTTTATCTGAAAAAATAAAATCACAGATACCAAAATGGCAGAAGAGTTTCTTTCAAAGCATAATAAATTGGTAGGGGCTCGAAGTAAAACGACTACGCTTTCATGTAAGGTGATTCAGGCATCTGACTAGTGTGTTTTCTGGACTCCTCCTGGGTGAGGTGTTTTGAGCCATGGGAATGGCTCAGTGCATCACAAGAGCTGGAGGTAGCAGGGGAGAGGGAGGTCTAAAGGTATTGGTTTAGACCCTGATCAGAACAGAAGATGGATAGGTGTGATAAAGATTAGTTTCAACTGTAAAAGTAAGTAAAACAATGATTTTATAGTTATGTAGTAAATGTTTTTGAAGTCAAGTACTAATTTGAGCAAGCTGAGATTTTGAGATTATTTTTCTTTACATTAATATAAAATCCACAAAACTTGGACCTGGTGAAATCTTCATAACCAGAGTTCAGAGTTTTTATTCAGAAGAGATTTTACTTAATTTGAGTTCCTTTTTTGGGCCTTTTGATCACTTATGAGTCTAAATTGCATTTTGTTTTGGTGGCAGGGTGATGCACTAATTAGTACTTACTTATTTTTCATACTTTAAAGGGATTGTGGCACATGTGTCAAACTGAAGACGTAGGGGTTCAATCCAGTCCTTTGCAGGTTTTAATCCAGCCTGCCAATCAGTTTAGTCTTTGAAAAACTTCTTAGTCATTTGTAAGTTTTCATGTGAATCTCCTTTTTCATCCTAGAACCCTGTGGAGTTCATTTAGTTTAAAATTTTCAAAGATCTTTAAGTTTGACTTTTTTTTTCTTTGAAATTCCCCACATGTACTGAGTTTTCAGGTTCATGCTTTTAAGAATTTTAAGATTGATTATTTTATCTTGAGCTATTTGTGCTTAACTAAATGATATGACATAGTTAGGGATCTTTGGACAAGTTGTTGTTAAGAATATCTGGTATATGTAACCATAATAAGCTGTAAACTGTGTATGGCCTTGGATGTGACCAAACGTGGTAAAATTAATTTTATTGCCCTTGACTTATAGTGCAACATAAGACTAAAACAGTTTGGGTATAACTTTGATGCGGTAGATGTGTCACTGGTCTTACATTTACCTGGTGTTGAGTGGTTTATTGACAGCCATATTCAGGTGCATCTTGTTTCGACTACTTTGTCTCTATTCAGTTGTATGTAAACGTGGAAACCTAAAGCATTTTTGCAATCCATGAGCCAAAACTCTGGGTTAATAATTATTGAGTTGGTTGTCTAAAAAAATTGCTAATTCCAACTTCTGTATCAGTGGCAGAAACAAGCTTCCATACATTCATCAGGTTTTTTGCTTCTTTCTTGAAGGCACAGGAGAGCCATTCAGAAGAGCCGGGGGTCAAAGGTGAAAAGAGCAGAGGGCACCATGGAGAGTGAGCCAGGGGCCCCTGCTTCCACTGCCAGCAGTACCGGGACCACCGCAGCCACCACCACGTCCACCACCAATTCCTCCAGCACCACTGCTGTCAGCAGTAATAGTACCTCTAATACTACTACGACTACTACTAGTTCTACCACTTCCACTAGCATTAGTAATAGTAGTAGCAGCAGCAGTAGTAGTAGTAGTACTAACACTAGCAGTACTTCCAGCAGTAGTACTACAGCTGGAAGACCGGCAGTGCCTCAGATATCGGTTTACAGTGGAATACCTGACCGTACAGTACAGGTGAGTGTTTTGGTTCTGTAATAAATCTGCTGAGAGCTTAAGTTGAGGTATTCTGTGTAACATCCTGACACTCTTTGCTCTACTGCCATCTGTTGGTGTTTAAAAGTGACATACAAGCTTCTAAAATTGTTTTTGAAAAGGGAATTGATGAAAAAGGGAATTTGTATTCCCAGTAAAGGATCTCAAATGTGTGGTAATGTTGGAGCATGTCTCCAATTTGAAGGAAAGAATGTTTTCTGTGCTTTAGTGCTTTTGACCCCTTGCCCTCGGGGTAAGCCTCTACACAGGCTTAGCCTCCCTTAGAATTAGGTCCACTCAACTTTGAGTGCTGATGGTTTGACAGCAGGGTTTTTGTTAGATTGAGTCCTTCTTTTCACCCCCTCAGCATGCTGACAATCACAAGGCAATCACTATTGTCACTGAGCAGCACTGTGAGCATAAAGGACCGCTGGAAATCAGTTCATGCATGTATTTCATCTTTGCTACTTGTGCCCGTCAGCGACACGTTGTGGGTCCGGATGCTTCTGTGACACTGTTGACTGCAGGTCAAAATCCTTGGAAGAGGGCACTTGGAGAGGTGGTTTCCCAGTGGTAGGGGTTTAACTTTCTTAGAGTTGTGTCTGGCACAGTGTGAAACCTTTCTGTCCCACATTTAGGGAAAAAGAATTGTTTGTATGTTTGCAGTAATTGGAGGTTTTGAAACCCTGACTTCTGTCTCCCGATTAGTCTGTTAAATAAGCAGTGATGCAATCAGTTCAGATACAACACATTTTGATTGTACCACATTTAGGATTTGATAAAGATATTGCATACTAATGACTATTGCTTAATGAAGAAAAATCAGCAGTTTGGTCTGTAAAGCATTTTGAAATACTATCAGGACAAGATTTATAAGCTCAAGTGATAAAATAATTGTAAATCTAAAACCTTGTAAAGTTTGTAAAATGTTAAATTCATAATAACTTAGTTTTATTTAGAGCAAAAGTAAATGTCTAAAATAAAGCATAAGGGTATTATTATTGTTAGGGATGCCGCTATTATATCATCTGAACATATTTTTATATCATAGATATTTAGGTTACGGTAAACGTTTAACTTGGCAACAAATTTGTTTTCTAAAAAAAGTTATTAAGCCTCATGCAATTCCAACACATAAATCAGAAAATGCACCGTGCAATCAAACTGACATTTCTTGATGTTGTTTACTGTTATCACACAATTTCCTTTTCATTTTTCCCACCAGATAATCTGCATGAGCAAAGATCCTAGTAAATAAAACTGCATTTAATATGGGGATGTATTAGCAACTGTTACTGGTATCAGAGTTTTTGGGTTGCCTGCTTTTTTTTTGTATGCCTTTGGCATGGTTCTAGCACCGCTGTATGTTTGTAAAAGAGCAAATCATTTCAAAAAACCACAGGTAAGGCTGTACAAAGAACAGAACTATTTTTAGTATAGGTGTGATGTTGGTGGCTTTAAGCGGTTGTATAATAGAAGAATGTGGAGAGTGTGGAGGTGGGTGATACAACCTCAGATTATATCACAATATTTCAAAGAAATTTGCAACAAGTGTTTTACTTGTGAATGAAATGGTGCCAGCAATAGCAGCATTATGGTGCAACAAGTCACACAGGTATTGTTTTCCAAGGAAATTTTAAGTAAGTCTAAAATAAGTGTTTAATACGTTCGCAATAACTAAAGTAACCTTGTAACTCTTCAGAAACCTGCACAACATTGTCACGCAATAAAACTGAAGCTGAAAAATATTTTCCACCTCTGATGTAATTCGGGTCCGCTCTCTTTCTTTTTTTCTTTTCTTTTTTTTTTTTTAAATCTGTTGCTCCAAGGCCTGCTTTACCACTTTCTATCCACTGTTTGCTCTTCTTGTCATATGAACTCCAACGAGTGCTCCAGTAATGCTTGGTTGAGACATTTCTTTACTTTTGTGTCGTAGATCACCAGCTGCACCAGTTTCCTCTTTGCATGCCTTCGTAGCATGGTTATACTTAGGGTGTGTTTTTGGTGAAACAGGTTTGCCTTTTCCATGTTCAGCAGGGACGGTTTTCTTGCATAATTTGGAAAGCATTGTTATGTTGGAGGATGATGAAGTAGCTCCCTTTTAACAAATCATCACTGTAGGCGGACACATGGCTGTGGCTGTCAGATATATCCGGGCTTGTCTACTTGTTGTGCGATTAGATAATGTAAACACATGGCATTGCTATAGAAATAAAATTATAAAACCCATTTTCTTTTCTTTTTATTTATCATGTAAAAATTTGTATTGAGATTACCCACATGGTAGAAGCCCAGAGGCTTTGGTTTGCTTTGTTGACATATCATGAAGAATTGATGTTGTTTCGAGGTGACTGAATCTGTGATTCTTTGGATTTTATGAAAGTTTAGTTCAGATGTAAAAATCAAATGTTTTTTTTAAACTGGTCATTTTTTTGCACCTGTTTTTATTTGCAGGTATTCCAGCAGGCATTGCATAGACAGCCCAACACAGCAGCACAGTACTTGCAGCAGATGTATGCAGCTCAGCAGCAGCATCTGATGCTGCAAACTGCAGCCCTCCAGCAGCAGCACAGCCTCAGCCTGGCTGCTGTACAGCAGGTCAGCAAGCAGGCATCACAAATAATTCATTCTCTCAGTTTAGAGATGATGATTGCAGTTATTGTTGACCTGCTGCAAAACATGTTTCAGAAGTTGTGCATCTCTCACCCTGTCCTTCTGCCTCTCTCTACCTTTGTGATAGGCCAGTATCGCGGCTGGCCGGCAAAGCTCTTCACAAAATGGCACTTCATCTCAGCAAACAGGATCTACTCAGGCTACGGTAAGTGCAGTTTGGAGTGCTGCCTTCCTAAAAGCCTCTTTAAGTTATCTTTGTCCAGTTGGATTATCATCGAGCCAAGTTGAATTTTAGCAGCAGGATGCTAGCAGCTTGGTTGCTCCTTCTGTTTTACCTTTAAAAAGATTCAAGTTTCTTTTTGATTTTGTACGTATTTAGCTGTAAGAAATATTAGCAGAATGAGCACAGTTCAAACAATTTTTTTAAATTTTTTTTATTAACTATTTAATTTGATGCTGTCAAATTTAATAGTTGGGGATATGATGCTTTTGTCTCAGAACTCCTCACATCTATTCAGGACTTGTATGTATAACCTAATAATCCTGATTATCTCTCCGCATAGATCAACCTGACCACGTCTCCAGCGGCAGCTCAGCTGATCAGCCGAGCTCAGAATATTAGCTCAACCCCCACCACTATTTCCCAGCAGGCTGTTCTGCTGGGCAGCCCATCAAGCCCCACTCTTACACCCACCCAAGCACAGATGTACCTGCGTGCACAGATGGTAAGACTACAGAGAAAAGAAATGGCCACAGGCACATTTACATGATCCTCCACTTTATGCATAAACACTAACACACTTGTATTGCTTGATTTAAATAGGCACAACTCTGTTCTTTGGAGGCCCTGTGTATGTGTTTATGCCATTCAGATTTATTTTATTGTCATACAGTCAATACATCACAGATGCATTACTGAACAAAATTGCATGCACAGAGAGAAACTCGCAATAAAAACGGGGCTGAGTTAAAAAAGAATAAATGAAGGTGTTATTGCACATGTATAGAACATTACATACATAAATACATAAATAAATAAAATATACAAAATACATATTGTGTTTGTAAGTAATTCCACTGTAAATGGCGTGTTTTGTTGTCATCTTGCAGTAGAGTAGGTGGTCAGGATAATGCGTTTGCCTACAGAGAGCTCTTTGCAAACATGGAAGTCGATGTCTTTAACGTGAATGCTCAGAAAACATTTTTTGGTTTGTGTGCGTGTTCTCTCTTTCTCTTGTTGAAGGAATAGAAAGTGGTTATTTTGGGTATAGCTGGTTTTGAGTGCTTGCCAGTTGGAGTTTCCAGATTGTACAACTGATGGCAAACTGAAACTGGCAAAACAACCTGCTTATTACGAGCAAAAACACAACATTATCAGATGTCTGTGATGATTGCGGCAGGAAGCAAACTGCATGTCAGTTTAGTCATGGACTTTATTTCGAGTACAGTTTCCTGGTGCTACATTTACTCATATCAGTGTCCCAAAATATTTTCTTTAGTTTCCTGTTTTGTCTTATCATACACCAGAGGTTAAAAACTAACTAAATATACACACGCAGCACCCCATGATTAAATGATCTTCTGTCTTGTTAAGTTTTTTACTTTTGTAAATAGTGTGTTTTAACATTTATTGGGAGCCTGTGGCCCTTATTCAGTGTCATGCCCAAGGTACTGAGTCATATTTTCTAAAGCAGAATGGATGCTCATGGCACAGCTTCACCTACTTCATAGGTGCATTTTTTGGCCTGTGGCTTTCATCAGGTCAAAATGGTTATAGCCATTATTCAACACCATGCCCTGGGGTACTGAGACAGTTTTCACAGGTAGTTAGATACTGATTTGGTGATATAAGTCTTTGTCATCATTAAAATTGCAGTTTCACTAGTTGGTGGGGGAATATGATCAGTAATGACACAGGAGAGTAATTTTAGTTTACAGTTTGCTTCTCCTATTTTAGTTCCCCCTTTTTCAATGTGTGCCATACTTTCCAGGCCCAGGTACAGGTGGCGAGGAGCCTGGGTCGTGCTGTTCCTCTGTCCCCACAGCTCATCTTTACCCCAGCTGCCACTGTGACGGCTGTGCAGTCAGACAGCTCTACGCAGGCCTCCTCACAGGTAATATTGCTGGAACGTATATTATCACTAATAATACAAGAGCAGTCTTTTATCTCGCCTTAACATCTTTTCCAGCTCCCTCTCGTAAATATAACTTTATGCATTTTACACATATGTAGCAAAGCAGTAATCCATAAAAATAAATATTAAACTTAAGAGCTTTAACTGAATTTCCAGCATTTTACAAACAAAATTCTTATGAACATAGTCAAAAAATCCACAGCTTGAGCCATTTGTGAATCTTGTCTCTCTTTTTGTATTTAAGAATCAGGTACAGAATCTGGCCATCCGTGGCCAGCAGGGGGCGACAACATCCTCCTCTCAGACTCAGATGCCACAGGCTCTCAGTCTGAAGCAGGCCCCTGTGCCTATCCAGCCTGCGTCACTGATCAAAAACCCAAGTCAAGGTACCCAGGCCTCAGCAGGGGGGAAGACCAGCTCCTTAGACAGTCCCTCTGAAGGAGGGAAGAAGGGGGACAGTGCAGCAGTCACAGAAGTCCGAGCTATAAACATGAGCCGCAGTGTCACCGCTGTGAATGCTCAGCCTCTGCTTGCTCCGGGTAAGAGAAGTTTGTATATCCACAACATTAAATCCCATCCATTAAAGAAATGTCTCTCACACAGGTGAGAGAAAAAAATAATAATGATGGATATTAGTGATGCAAATAACCCCAAAACAAATAGTTGGTTAACAGGTTGTTTTGTTTGATCTTTAAAAGTACAGGAAGTAATACTTTTCTTGTTCTACTTACTGCTCTCACTCTTTTTAATCAAGAAAATTGTCTGCAGCTCAACCAGTATTTATTGATACATGCAGCCTTAATGTGTTTTAAACCTAATGCTTTGTGCGCTTGCCAAATTATTTGCAACACAAAGTCTTAAAAAACAGCAATAAACTCTGTGTAAGATATCAAGATGTGCTTACTAGGTCTTGTTGAATATGAGTGTTGGTATTAAATGGCAGCATTGTGGTTCAATTGATGGCACCATTTCCTCACAGCAAGAGTGTCCTGGGTTGAAACCTTGACAGGGCCCTACTGTGTGGAGTTTTGTCTGGGACCACTTAATTCAAGTTAAAACTTGTGGCTCCACAGTGTAGTGGTTAAAACACATTTAACACGTGGAAGTTCAAGGCCAGGAGAAGGAGGGTTATGTCAGGGAGGGCATCTGGCATTAAACTCTCTTCTAAAGGCAGTGGTGACACTGCCATACACTCTAGACAATCTAACCAACATGTGCAAGCAACCCTGTAGCATAACAGATTACATTTTAATGTCCCTAATCATGTATTGTAGCAACAGTCTTATAAACCAATGTTTGTCAGGTCACTGCTTTGATTCTGACTAAATTATATCAGCAGCTCGACTGGATTGCCATGAAATTATGCAGAGCAGAAATTGGTGGTCACAAGAGCATGAATCCTAGTGTCTCCACTGAGTTTCCTCTTCTGTGTTTCTTCAATCAAATTGTCTTATAGCCAGTAAAATCTTTAATCTTAGTGTATTTTAAATGCTGTTTCTGAGCACATCTTAGATAAAACTTCTTGTGCTGCTCATGCTCTGTGTTCTGAATGCACCAATGTTTTCCTCTGAAAACATGTGGTCCACAGAGCACGTAAGCTCTAAAACTGCAGTGAAGTTATGGTTTCATTTTTGTGGACAGAAAAAGGAAACTGACAAACTGTTTGCCGGCGGTTGCATGCTTCTGTTATGTATCAGATGTACATTTCAAACCTGAAGAAAGATTTTGGCTTTGTGACAGCTGTCTTATATACATATACAGAGCTGTGCTCTAGTGTTTATAGTGAGATTAGATGAAAAGACATTTCACACATGGACGTTTGAAAGCTTTTTCTTGGCTGTTGCTGTGACTTGTCGGGGCCTGCTTCACAAATCCATTCACTCACTAAATGGGTGAAACCAGCTCTATTAGAGACAGCGTGTTGGTTTTGTGTCTGGAACAGTCTAGCTGCTTTGTGAATTAGGAGCTGTGAAAGGCACACTGCCATGCAAGAGTGTTTTTAAACCACTTATTGTGTAATTGAAAGTCAGCAGCTGGTTTTTTTTTTTTTTAATGTTTTTTTTCCCCCTTTTTAGCGTGAATGGTTGTGAATGTTCTAGCAGCACAAGCTGATTACGTCAAATTAAGTCCCATTTGTTTGCATGATAAGTCCCTTTAGATGCATTTTAAAGAGGGTCCTCATAGGAAATCACATCTTACAAAATAATTTGTCTGTCTGTGCATGTGCCATATTTATGTCTGTATGACTGCATGGCTGTAACACTCTTTACATTTATGGTTGGTGTTGTGTGTGTGTGTGTCTGTGTGTGTGTGTGTGTGTGTGTGTGCGCACTTGGGCTTGTGTGTTTGTGAAGAGAGGGGGAGGAGGGGATTATCTGTGCACGTTGGTGCACAACTGTGTCTTGCTTTGTTTCAGTAATAGATTCACGTAAAATGAAAGGGAGGATGGAAGCTGAAAATCTGGCAGCATGCTGTCTGGGAAAAAAAATTACCATGGGTTGCCATAGCAGCAGCCCACGAGGGACAGGTGTGCACATGAGATGCTGGGGAGTTATTACTGTGTGGATCAGGAAGAGAAGCGGCAGCGTGGCTGGCTGATGGGATTCGGATTAGGATAAAAGCTTGGATTCAACTTGACTGTGGCTGGGTCAAGATGCACTTTGCTTTAGAGGGTAAAATTGGTAATAGAAGAGAGCAGACATTATTTTTAGCTGCAGGAAACCAGAGATTTTGCTCCATGTTGTTGGTGGGTAATTTCACCCCCCGAGGATGGTTTTGGTTCATGAAAGATTGTAGAGGTAATTGCTACTTAGCATTTTATGTAATTGATCAGCAATTTTAGTGATTTTAGTCTTAATAAAATTATGACACTTAACTGTTGCATTTCAAAAGTAGCTCATTGCCAGGAAAATTTAGATATGAACTCAGCTAGTGGTTTTGCACAGTCCACATTCATGATGTCAATTATTAATAGTTTCAGTTGGCAAATGAACCACCTATAACATTGCAATGTTACTAGCTTTGTTGCTAGTTACTACACTGACATTGACTGATATTAGACATTTAGCCTAAATTCTCCTAACAAAATGGGTGGTGAATTTATGCAGGAGGCTTGCAGACTTTAGAAGTGTTTAGAAGTGTAATATGGTAATTATGGTTTTTTCACAAGTAAAAGGAATAATTAC